TGATCAAGAATGCTAAAATTGATATAAAATCGATATTTTTTGAAAAAAAAGTTTACTATGATCGAAACCAAAAATGCTTTAAATTGCATTTTAAAACATATCCAGGTATTATAAATGATAAAGAATGCTAAAATTGATATAAAATCGATATTTTTTGAAAAAAAAGTTTACTATGATCGAAACCAAAAATGCTTTAAATTGCATTTTTAACATATCCAGGTATTATAAATGATTAAGAATGCTAAAATTGATATAAAATCGATAATTTTTGAAAAAAAAAGCATTCTATGATCGAAACCAAAGTTGATTTAAATTGCATTTTAAAACATATCCAGGTATTATAAATGATGAAGAATGCTAAAATTGATATAAAATCGATATTTTTTGAAAAAAAAGTTTACTATGATCGAAACCAAAAATGCTTTAAATTGCATTTTAAAACATATCCAGGTATTATAAATGATAAAGAATGCTAAAATTGATATAAAATCGATATTTTTTGAAAAAAAAGTTTACTATGATCGAAACCAAAAATGCTTTAAATTGCATTTTTAACATATCCAGGTATTATAAATGATTAAGAATGCTAAAATTGATATAAAATCGATAATTTTTGAAAAAAAAAGCATTCTATGATCGAAACCAAAGTTGATTTAAATTGCATTTTAAAACATATCCAGGTATTATAAATGATGAAGAATGCTAAAATTGATATAAAATCGATATTTTTTGAAAATAGCCTACTATGATCGAAACCAAAGTTGATTTAAATTGCATTTTAAAACATATCCAGGTATTATAAATGATAAAGAATGCTAAAATTGATATAAAATCGATATTTTTTGAAAAAAAAATCCTACTATGATTGAAACCAAAATTGATTTAAATTGCATTTCAAAACATATCAAGGTATTATAAATGATAAAGAATGCTAATATAGATAAAAAATCGATATTTTTTGAAAAAAAAAGCCTACTATGATGAAAACCAAAATTGATTTAAATTGCATTTTTAAACATATCTAGACATTATAAATGATAAAGAATGCTAATATAGATAAAAAATCGATATTTTTTGAAAAAAGAAAGCCTACTATGATGAAAACCAAAATTGATTTAAATTGCATTTTAAAACATATCTAGGTATTATAAATGATAAAGAATGCTAAAATTGATATAAAATCGATATTTTTTGAAAAAAAAGCCTCCTATGATCGAAACCAAAATTGATTTAAATTGCATTTTTAAACATATCTAGACATTATAAATGATAAAGAATGCTAATATTGATATAAAATCGATATTTTTTGAAAATAGCCTACTATGATCAAAACCAAAAATGCTTTAAATTGCATTTTAAAACATATGCAGGTATAATAAATGATAATGAATGCTAATATTGATATAAAATCGATTTTTTTTGAAAAAAGAAAGCCTACTATGATGAAAACCAAAATTGATTTAAATTGCATTTTAAAACATATCTAGGAATTGTAAATGATAAAGAATGCTAAAATTGATATAAAATCGATATTTTTTGAAAAAAAAGCCTCCTATGATCGAAACCAAAATTGATTTAAATTGCATTTTTAAACATATCTAGACATTATAAATGATAAAGAATGCTAAAATTGATATAAAATCGATATTTTTTGAAAAAAAAAAGCCTACTATGATCGAAACCAAAATTGATTTAAATTGCATTTTTAAACATATCCAGGTATAATAAATGATAAAGAATGCTAAAATTGATATAAAATCGATATTTTTTTGAAAATAGCCTACTATGATCGAAATCAAAAATGCTTTAAATTGCATTTCAAAACATATCCAGGTATTATAAATGATAAAGAATGCTAAAATTGATATAAAATCGATATTTTTTGAAAAAAAAGCCTCCTATGATCGAAACCAAAATTGATTTAAATTGCATTTTTAAACATATCTAGAAAATATAAATGATAAAGAATGCTAAAATTGATATAAAATCGATATTTTTTGAAAAAAGAAAGCCTACTATGATGAAAACCAAAATTGATTTAAATTGCATTTTAAAACATATCTAGGAATTGTAAATGATAAAGAATGCTAAAATTGATATAAAATCGATATTTTTTGAAAAAAAAGCCTCCTATGATCGAAACCAAAATTGATTTAAATTGCATTTTTAAACATATCTAGAAAATATAAATGATAAAGAATGCTAAAATTGATATAAAATCGATATTTTTTGAAAAAAAAGCCTACTATGATCGAAACCAAAATTGATTTAAATTGCATTTTTAAACATATCCAGGTATAATAAATGATAAAGAATGCTAAAATTGATATAAAATCGATATTTTTTTGAAAATAGCCTACTATGATCGAAATCAAAAATGCTTTAAATTGCATTTCAAAACATATCCAGGTATTATAAATGATAAAGAATGCTAAAATTGATATAAAATCGATATTTTTTGAAAAAAAAGTTTACTATGATCGAAACCAAAAATGCTTAAAATTGCATTTTAAAACATATCCAGGTTTTATAAATGATGAAGAATGCTAAAATTGATATGAAATCGATATTTTTTGAAAATAGCCTACTATGATCAAAACCAAAAATGCTTTAAATTGCATTTTAAAACATATCCTGGTATTATAAATGATAAAGAATGCTAATATTGATATAAAATCGATATTTTTTGAAAAAAACCTACTATGATCAAAAACAAAAATGCTGTAAATTGCATTTTAAAACATATCCTGGTATTATAAATGATCAAGAATGCTAATATTGATATAAAATCGATATTTTTTGAAAATAGCCTACTATGATCAAAACCAAAAATGCTTTAAATTGCATTTTAAAACATATCCAGGTATTATAAATGATAAAGAATGCTAATATTGATATAAAATCGATTTTTTTTGAAAATAGCCTACTATGATCAAAACCAAAATTTATTTAAATTGCATTTTAAAACATATCCAGGTATTATAAATGATAAAGAATGCTAATATTGATATAAAATCGATTTTTTTTGAAAATAGCCTACTATGATCAAAACCAAAAATGCTTTAAATTGCATTTTTAAACATATCCAGGTATTATAAATGATGAAGAATGCTAAAATTGATATAAAATCGATATTTTTTGAAAAAAAAGTTTACTATGATCGAAACCAAAAATGCTTAAAATTGCATTTTAAAACATATCCAGGTTTTATAAATGATGAAGAATGCTAAAATTGATATGAAATCGATATTTTTTGAAAATAGCCTACTATGATCAAAACCAAAAATACTTTAAATTGCATTTTTAAACATATCCAGGTATTATAAATGATTAAGAATGCTAAAATTGATATAAAATCGATATTTTTTGAAAAAAAAGCCTACTATGATCGAAACCAAAATTGATTTAAATTGCATTTTTAAACATATCTAGAAATTATAAATGATAAAGAATGCTAAAATTGATATAAAATCGATATTTTTTGAAAAAAAAAAGCCTACTATGATGAAAACCAAAATTGATTTAAATTGCATTTTTAAACATATCTACCCATTATAAATGATGAAGAATGCTAAAATTGATATAAAATCGATATTTTTTGAAAATAGCCTACTATGATCGAAACCAAAAATGCTTTAAATTGCATTTTAAAACATATCCAGGTATTATAAATGATAAAGAATGCTAAAATTGATATAAAATCGATATTTTTTGAAAAAAAAGCCTACTATGATCGAAACCAAAATTGATTTAAATTGCATTTTTAAACATATCTAGAAATTATAAATGATAAAGAATGCTAAAATTGATATAAAATCGATATTTTTTGAAAAAAAAAGCATTTTATGATCGAAACCAAAATTGATTTAAATTGCATTTTAAAACATATCCAGGTTTTATAAATGATAAAGAATGCTAATATTGATATAAAATCGATATTTTTTTAAAAAAAAGTTTACTATGATCGAAACCAAAAATGCTTTAAATTGCATTTTAAAACATATCAAGGTATTATAAATGATAAAGAATGCTAATATTGATATAAAAATGTGCGTTTTTTTTAAGAATTTGTATGGTTTTGTTAGAAAAACCTTATAAATTATCAAGGAATTGTACGGTTCTCACCTGTGCATAGGTGCCTGTATCGCAACCCTGATTAGTAAGACATGTACATATTGCAGTTTTCTTGTGGCACAAGTCATTTTAAGGTGGGTTTAATCTAATGTGCAGAGAACTGTTGCAATTTCTTTCTTCTTGGGATTGATGTTGTTTATCTTAAATTTCTCATCTGATTTTTGCTGCTGCTTCTGTTGTTTTCCAGCTCGTCAGAGCTACAAGAGTCTGAAGAGTATGGCATCGCTAAATATAATTATTTATATTAATGACTTGAATTTATTGACTTTTTTTTTTAATTTTAAAGTTCTCTTACAATTTGAATCCATGAACTTTCTATATGTAGAATAAAGAGTAAGTAAGAATATTAACTTAACATCAAATATTGTATGTCCAAAACTACTTTTGAATTATTTAAATATATTAATAACATGTAAAAGCAAGAGAGGCCCAAAGTCGTGTGTTGAATGCCGAATTGTTACGCACATAAAATATGTACTTATGCGATTAATGATTTCCACAAGAATTGTCACAACATTGTGATCTGATGGAGTGGTTGTCTGAGATTTACAAGCTTTTTTGATCTCTTGCTTCTTCTTTTATATTATATTCAAATCGGGTTTGAGAAATTCAAACTTTAACTGAATATTCAGAATCAAATTTGAATCATCGAAAAACTCGTCTAAAGTTTAACAGAAATATTCAAATTCAAAAGGTACGGTAAGTTACAAATGCAATGATTGGCAAAGCCCTACAATTCTGAAAGGCAAGTTTAAAAACAATAATTAAGATATCAAGTTCTGTTCCTTTTTCATAATGAAACTTTATTTATGTTGATGGAATCATCCTTAGACACAATTTTAAAATATAAGGATTTTTCATTAAATTTACTCATTTTCTTGTGAGCGCATTCTGGCGTGGAAGTTTGTTACACGAATTCCCAATTGCTTTGCTCGTTCGCAGATCAATTTGCGTGTCTTAGCACTAACAGCATGAGCGACTTCAGCACAATATACACGGTTTTGCATCATGAGAACCTCAAGTTCACGAACATTGTTGACAATGAATTTCTTGAAGCCATTAGGGAGCATATGACGGGTCTTGGCATTTGATCCATAACCGATATTTGGCATCAAGTACTGTCCCTTAAAACGACGACGAACTCGATTGTCAATACCTTTTGGCTTACGCCAGCTTGGCTACAAATAGAAAATAGACATGATTAATACATGGAAGTTGTAAGCGAACTGTCAATTCGAAATATTTCTGATAAACAATTTTTGGATGGAAACCTTACGCCTTTTTATATGAAAAATTTAAAGCCTATTATTAATATTTCGAAGTGAAATGACTGTCTCTTGTTTTTGTTGCATATGTGCTATAACTTACCTTGACTTTGTCATATCTGTCCGATTGATGGCGAATGAAGTGCTTCGTGCGCTTCTTTACAATTTTGGGTTTGAATGCTGGTCTGACTGCCATTTTATATCCTAAAATAAAGAGAATAAGTTAATTTAAGTCATTGTTTATGAACCAGTTAACCTAAAATGATATTGTTCAAAAAATAGTTGTTTTTTCACGATTTTTATAGCTTAATTAACTGTTTTTGAATGTGATTCACTGTGCACTATCCTTAACATCATTTACAATATCATTTTAGTAAAGTAAACATCATTAAAACATCGACTTTACATTAAAATTTAACTTACAGAAATCAACTCGTTGAAAACTTGAGCGAAAAGAAAGAAAGCGTCGACTTAATTTTTTTAAGATACATTCAACCCCTCGACAATAAGTCTTTTCGTGTGTTCAATTTGAATTTATTTTATACGTTATTTTAAGATTACAAAATTATAATGATTTTAATAGTTTCCACCAAATTGACGTTGCATTTGAGGTGGTCTCATTGGCATTTTGCTATCCAATTTGAATGATAATTGCAGGAAGAATTGCTTCGTGTCTTTATTCCAATAAGTCCAAAACTTTCCTTCTGATTTCTCAATCTCACGACTTGGGACTTTAAATGCAATCGTTTCATATGGCTCAGCAGCAAATAATAAGTACTGCCATTTACGATCTGGTGGCTCAATCTTTTGTTCATAAGCTGACATAAAACGATGTCTTGGAAAGATGTTTTCAGTGATTTCTGGATAATCAATTTGGAACAAAAGGGATTGCTGCATATTCTCTGGATCTCTTTGCTTCGTTACTCGATAACCAGGACGTCCAATTTTAACGAACTTTTTCGGTTCAACTCGTGGCTTCTCAGGTTGAATTGATGGAGCTTCTTTAGCTTCCTTAGCAGCACGTCTTGCAAGATTTGCTTGATGCTTCTTTCCTTGTGTATGTGCCAAGTAACTTCCTTCGTTATTATGGAGTGTTAAGCATAATTTACACTCATAAGATCCAAGATGATTTTTCATAAAATATGGATCTTTTGCAAGATCAATTGTCTCAAGAGCAAGCTGTCTAAGACGTTCTCGTCTATCACGATTACTTTCAGACCAACTGGCTTGTCCACCAGATCCAGTTTTGCCTCCTGCACGATTTTGAAAATCCATTCTGGATCTTTTTTTATCAAACGATTATAAAAATTGTTATTTTTTGTGCTAATTTGCTGTTATATCTAGTTTAATTTATTCTAAACTGATAAATTGTTATGCTACTCACGTGTATTAGCTCGTTAAGGGATGACTTAATGCTTATTTACTGTATAAAACTTAATGAACTAAAAAAGTTTGTGAATTTTCCGATTGTTTACCAATTAAACCTTGATATAACGAACTATGTTCGGATCAGGCAACAGGGAATGTTGTGAGTTTCATTTGAAGTAACAAATCAACATTTGAGTTTAATTTCAAAAATATAACGTTTAAAAAATATTTGAAAAAACTCAAAAAAAACAAAAATTTGAAAATAAAACGTTCATAAAATTTAAAATATTTGTTTTTAAAAATAACCGTCAGAATTATTAAAACCACGTGGTTAAAAGAGGTTGATTCATTATAAATATTAAACCTTAATTTCTTAATTTTAAAACTTTGGCTAATCTATTAATTCTTGATTTAATCAATCATAAATTCAAAATCTTTTGAACACTCAATTGATTTTTGATTTGACATGCATGCTCTGGTTCGGACTACATATCGTATAAACATTATTGTAAACACTGCATTAACATTTGAACAATTCAATACAATACTAACATCATATTAATTCAATTTTTAACTTAAATGGATACTAAAATGGATGAAGATAATAAACCAGAGACTTCAAACACAATAAATATTAAGAAACCGAAAAGGGTCATTCATTGTAGTGATGGAGTATACGAAGAATACAGCTCTGACGAAGAGGAAGCAAAGGAAGATCCAAAAGACATGTCATTAATCCGAAGAATTGGTCACCGGATCGTTTTTGGACTTGATTATGTTGGTGGGTATCATCGATACATCCAAAATTAATCTTAGTCATTGATTTTTAATAAATAATAATCAGGTGAAGGCCTTGCAAACATACTGAACATTTCAACACCAAAATATGCCTACGAAATTGAGCAATTCAAGAAGATGGAAGAAGAAAGACAGAAAGAGGAACAGCATGAACGAGAAAATGCTTGGGAAATGAAGACAGAAGAGGTTGCTGTACCAATCACAGAAGTTCCTAAAAAGAATGAATCATCTGAAACCAACTAGTCGAATATTGATGAATCATGACTTTATATGAAGCGTACTGAATGGTTATTGGTTTAAGGATCTCTCATATAAAGTGGCTACTCCAATTAGTTCTTATCGACTCTAGTTTAATATTTTTGACTTGACAATCTTAAATCAAGTTTTTTTGCGAATTTAAAACTAGTTGGAGTGCTCATTTGATATCTCGGATGATTTTTACAAGATTTCTTATAAGATAAATATTATAACATGAGGGGCTGTTCATAAATGATTTTCATCATTGGGGGGAGGAGGTTAGGCTTAAAAAAAATCCCACTTTTTATTAGACATCATAAGTGAACAATTCCTCTATCTATAATCGAGTTCCATTGCATTTTAACAAGTATTTAATCAAATAATTAACGGTTGCTCGAATTTTTTAAATAGTCTAATCCAAAATCAATTATTGACTTAATATTTTTATAATAATCTCTTAAATTAGCAAATTTATAACCCTGTTAAAGTATTTAACCACTATAACCAATTACTATATTACAAGTTTAAATGTTTGTTGAAAGGTTTTTTTGACACTTGACTGCAATTTTGCTGTGCAACAATTTTTTTTTTTATGGATACACGGACTGAAAATTCAAAATTTTAAGAGAAAACAGTTTGAAATTTTAATGACAGATTTAAATATTAACGCGAAGGAGTTTTGAAGAGGTTTTGCAAATCAGAAGGGGGTTCAAACTATGCTTTTTCAAATATGGCACCAGAAGTTAAGAATATCACAATATTCTGAAGTTGGGTACAGTGTTGCAAATGTAGATGTCTACACTAGATGAAGAATGTAGATTCTTCAATACTTTTTGTCTAGCTAAGAAACTTTCTTCATAAAGATCGATTCTATATGAAGATAGAAAATCTAATCTACACAAAGATTCGATGTAGATGTCTACAATTCTACATTTTTTCCAGGTCTACATCAGAGAAGAATGTAGAATTGTAGACATCTACATCGAATCTTTATGTAGACAGATTCTTTATGTAGAAATAATCTTTGTGTAGATTAGATTTTCTATCTTCATGTAGAATCGATCTTTATGAAGAATTTCTGTCTCAGAATTTATCTGATCCAGACAAATGGCCAGAATGCAACACTGATTGGGTACTTAAAATGTTTACAATAGTCAAGATTCTGATCAATAGGAACCAGAAAATGAAAATTAATGAAGAATAGGTTAAAGCTTGGTTGAAATTATCTTTAAACGGTTCTGAATACTAAGAGTAGTGTCACGAATTAAATCTTAAGAAACACTGGGAAAGATGCATATCCTTATCAAATAGACCTCAAATTAATCCTATAAGTTCAGATATTTTATCAAGCCAGGCATTTTTCTCAGCTCTGGGAGTTCAATTACTTATGACGTCAATCATAAAAAGGCAATCATAGTTCTGTGACAAGGATTCGAGGAGGAATAAACCTGATAAGTTAACGACCCCGCAGAAAGTGGATAATACTTAAAAATCAAAATCATTGTCAATGGAAAAGTTTGAGGTCTTACTATCAAATGTTGACGTTATGTTTATAGTGCGATAAATATTTTACATCATTTTTAACCACAAGAACATGAGATAGCGAGGAATAATACATGACATTGAGTACATCGGCACTTTTCTTATCAAGTTTGGCAAAACAAACACAGGAAACAAGAAATTCACACTCAAAGCTATAAAGAGATTGAGTCATATAGTCAGGGTGGGGAGAATTTCATGAGTTAACTCACAATTCAAAATTCAAAAAATGAAATTGAGTTAAAATTCCGTTACAAAATGAATTTGAATTTAACTCATTTTTGAAAATGAGTTTTTTTTGAGTTTTGAGTTAACTCCCCACCCTGCATTTAGTCATCAAAAAAGCAATAGAACTAGTCAAGATAATGACACTATAAATGCATAAACTCTGAAAACGAATCGAAAGGCAAAATTGCACACAAAAGAGAATAAAATTTGTGAATCCAAGTATGAATTAGAGAACAGAATGTGATAACTAAGAATAATTTTAATGTAGACATAAAAAAATGCACCCATTTATTATACATAAAGAGAAAGAAATATATACAATAAGTAGAGCAAGTTCATATAATCTCATAAATGACATCATGATGAAAAGAGAGAAGTTTCTAGGTCAGGGTAAAAATAAACGAGCAAAAAAAAATGTAAATGGCAATTTAAAAAAAGGTTTAAAAAGCGAGAGACGAAGAGTAAATAAAAAAATTAAGAATGAAAATGAAAGTTTTACATAAAAAAAAAATTCTCCCATCCACATAATTTTCACCCTCCGTCTTGAGCATTTTTTTTCGCGTTCTACATAATTTTTTTTCCGCTGCTGCTTCTGCTGCTTTTTTAATTTTCACTTTCCTCTTAAATAATGTTCTTGATTATTATTATGTATAAGAGTTTTTTGCTCCTTAGCATTTACATTATTGTTGCTGTTGTTATTGTCGGTTGAGCTATTAACAAGATAATATGATGACTTCCGAGGGTTGGAAAAAAAAATTCAATTAATTGCGTGGGAAAAAAATATTCTTGATTTATGTGGAAGATGGTCAATATTATCATTAGATGACTGTCATGTATGATTTATAGACACAGCACATACTCAATTTCAACCCTCTAAATGCAGAATCTTTTCAACTCAACCAATCGAAATTTGAGAATCATGTGTGAGCATGTGTGTGACTCCGTATGAGTGTGTATATTGCATTCTATCTCTTTCACTTGTATACTTGATTCTGTTACTGTCTTATCAGGCTTGTGACTTACGAATTTTGCAAAATAAAATCCTCGGTGTTACTTTACACACATGGAAGAGAATTTGTAGAAGGATTCAGTTATTTATGTACAGATTATTGTTGTGTATGTGAGTCATATGTTCACGCCCATTTTTTTTTTCTACACACATTCGAAATTCTTTCATTCCTGTTGTCATGTTATGTACATATTGAGAAAAAATCATCAATAAAATCTATTTTTTTCTTGCTCAATCTCTCGATTAAAGGATTTTTTTATAGCCTTTCAATTAAGGATTTTTATATAGAATATCTGTTTGTATGTGAGGCATGAGGTGTGGATGATTGTGCGGATGTTCAAATAATGAGTAAAATCTACTAAATCATGAAAAATTTTATTTAAAAAGTCATGGAAAATGCGGAATCTTTTGTTATTCTATTGAATTAAAAACCGTTATTTGGAAATAATTTGAATTTCTTCCCGCCTTTTTAATTTCTCACCAAAAGTTTTAATTTGTCAATTTTAAGCTCAAATTGCATTTTAATGTCTTTAAAGTTGTTGAATTTGATTTAAAAATGTAGCATAAAGCTATTAATTCCATTTAATTACAGATTTTCTTACCTTAATATCAATAAATTCTCATAATAATATGATTTTTGTTTAGATTTTCTAAAACAATATTAGAAAAGGAACCGACATCAACAGAATTATGTCGAATAAGAATGCCATGCAATCTATCACAACGAGAAACTTCTCAAAACATTAAGGAATCAAAAATTCAAGATCCTGAATCATTCAGCACTTTCCACTCCATTTTTGAAGAAAATCTTTCAAAAATTCATGAAAATCTTTTTTTTTAATTCCTCAGTTCATCTTTTAAAGGCACAGCTCGTTCACTCACTGAATATCATAATGAGGACATCTGTCAGATCTATTTTTTGATCACAAATGAAAGGGTCTAAGAATCTCGCTCTGAATTTCATTAAAATTATGCAAATGAAAGGCACATGTATGAGTTGACTGAATCAAAAAAATTTATTTCAGCAGGTAAAGAATTTAATTTCGCAAGTCTCTAATGCACAATTAAAGTAAACACGCTCTACAAATAAATTTTAATTTAAATATACTTGCAGAGCAAATAATACCGAAAATTGAATTTATGAAAATAAAGGCTTCAATTCATAAAATTTACATAATATGACATGCTACATGTCGCAGATCAATAGGTTTTAGCGACGGTTTGCAGATGCAAAATATGTGTAGTACGATTTACTAGGCTTTAAATTGTTTTTCGTATGATGGATCTTATTTTGGTTAAATTTTCATTTTTGGCGTGGTTTATTAGGAATCTTTTGGATATATCATAGCTTCTAGCTATTTTTCATAAAATTTCAACCTACCATGACTTACTAAAGCTACAATAAGGATCCTAAATGGAATATTAGATTGAAAATCATGTTTTTTGATAAAACACAACAACAAAACCTAAAATATCATCCAGAACATAAGAACTTAACTTCATAAACACAAAACTAATGCAGGAGCAAATAAAACACCGCATCAAATGAGAAAAGCAATAAATTTTAGTCAAGAAACCCCAAGAACTTCAAGAAAACAAGCATCTTACAAATTACTAACTTCATTCCTTTAAAAAAAATTCATTACAAAATAATCATAAATCAAATTGTAATGAAATAAACTCAACCAAAAATACAGAACAGCCTTCCACATCGTCCATTGAACTTCATAAAAATTTTGGTCAAACAAATCACCCTTCACTTTATATTGTATCAACATACATATAGAATGGAAATATAGCAATATTAAGGAAGTAGGAAGGGTCACTCCCAACACAAATGACCATTTCTGCATGTGCTGCATAAAATTTTATATATTTTTTAATAGAGCGTACATTTTACTGCAATTCTATTAAGTATGAAAAGGATATTTGATAGGCGCGCGAGTATTTTCATCTACCTGCTCACAACAATGTGAATTAAACCCTTTTTTATTCCCTTTATTCGCTGACCTTTTTCAATGACCCCTGTCCAAGCTATTTTAAAACTCTGAGGTATCAAATCACTACTGAGTATTGTATAATCAAATCAAATACTGTAAATTTTCAACCTTTTTCTCATGTTAGGGATGAATTAATGAGTTGGAAAGGCAGGGGCAAGTATGGTAAGCTAAAGATGCTTGGAAAGTATGTTTTGAAATTTTGGATCAGTTTTAGGTTGAAAATTCGATATTTCTTCTAATAATCAGATACACGCAATTTTACGAACAAGGTTGGATTATAAATACTCAAGTCTTAAGAATCCATTCAAATGAATCATACAGGACAATATGCTTATATAAATCTACCCCTACTTCCAATAAAACATGCTAAGATCACATTATAACTCAAAAATGACCATTTTAGATTAACATAATGTTGTGCA